TTTTGCCTATACAACATTCTGCCTACAAACTGCCTTCTGTTTTGAATACATACCAGTTACATTACACTCACCACTGGGGAAGCGCTTACTTTAATATGTAAACATAGGGTTCTTTTTCCTCCTGTCCTTTGCAAATAGCATCCTCCTAAGCTCCGCCTACCTCTGATCATTTAAAACGAATTGTAGTTAATAAGATATTATTCTCTAGAGATCATGCCTTAATTTTACACATTGTATTTTCCTTTTTCCGCAAGCTCTGCAGCCTTACGAGGAGGTGTCGAAAAATATCTACAACAATTTATTTAACTTTTGAATTTAAGAGAAAGTCTTACAGAACATTAACCTCCTTCATATTACTGTCAATTAGATGATACGCAATCACTCTCCACTGTCCGAAACATTCTTTTGTAGTCTTCTGAACAATTGCGTCCAGCGAGTATTCGTAACGTCTTCCGCTTTCTCAGAACGATATACTTTTAGGTATTTCGTCATTCTTGAAAATAAGAAGTCGCAGGGTGGAGGGGAGGGAGGGGAGTAGATCGGACGAGTAGGGGGAAGGATGAGAACCTAACAATCTGTCATATATTCCGACGTAATCCGTCTGTATCTGCTGGTCTGCGTCCTCCGTGCAGAAACAGCGTGATCACCAAAACCGCCCCAGTGCAACGCAGGTGTCTCACACGATCACCTCCGTTAAGGATAAGGAGGCTTGTAAGTGCATATTCCCATCTTTTATGCTCATTGAAAATATAAGATGCATGTATTATCACTGAGATACAGTATAGGGAATAGGATGTTGTCATGTTTGGCTAATTCTGGAGCGTGTTGCGTCCTTATTTAGACAGGAGAAGTTATCTAAATTCCAAGCTAGAGCTAGATACTGTAGTGATTCTATAGTTAGCCTGTAGAGGGCAAATGACACTACTGTGGGATACGAAGTAGTCCGGCCGGATACTAGAAGATAGAACGTATCCCAACGGTTATAAACTAGTGAATAATATAAGGCGTGGAAAGCCATAGTGTTAGGGATAATTTAATTGAGTTTAGAAGGAGTAGAATATGAGTAATGGGTAAGTGACTTCCAGACGAGTGCAGTCCAGCCATGAGCGGACCGGAGTCCAAAGTCGCATTCCGGCAGGTGTAGTCGCCGGGTCCGGATGTCTGCAGCCGACCATAAGGTCGCCGGCTCCGGGAGTGTTTAAGTGTAAGCAGTCACCACCCTAAGGTCCTTTGTGAACTGGCCTTGGGTAGTGGTTGGCCAGTTGGGCCAGATGAGTCCGTGACTTTGATCGGAAGTTAACACTAGAGCCAGACATGCGGGACATGTCCCAGACGAGTAGTGCGAGCAAAGCATGGCTTATAATACGAAGTCCCTACAATACCTAGCGACATAGAAGTGGGATAAAGGTGAGAAGGCGAAAATTAGTTCAGGCCCTGGTTTGCTACGGTACCCAAACAAGTATCTATTCAGAATAGCATAAATCCAGTCCCACACCCCCAATAAAGATCGAGGTGACATGAGCCCAGCGCTGACTTGAATCGGCACCACCTCTGACAAAAGTTAATGTCATTAATAGTTCAGAAGAAGAAGAAGATGCGACCACTGGAACACGGACAAAGAAATCGCGGCAATTAATGAGTCGAGCACGAAGTGTCAGCCATCACCGCACCAATTAAGACCCCAAGTGGTGACTATGGGAGACGGACGGATAATTATAGTACGCGCGCGGATGACCGCTACGAACTATTAATACCGTGCAAGCTGTACATGTTTCACCCCTATCTGCGCATGACGAATGTATCCATTTGGTCCCTATTGGGCCATTTTACTTAGCGCGCGCAAATGTTCGGTTATTTGGTTAGTTAGATAATTATTCCTATTATTTTCTTTTTATATACGTTCTACTCTTTTATTAATCGTTTTCACCTTTATTACCCTCTGTACCGTATTTCAGAAGGATAGGGTTTCGCGTGCTGTTTGGTGACCTAAATTGAACTGCTACACTGCTAGGATCCCCTCAAGGAGTCTTCTGTCATCAGCA